TGAACGCAAAATTTGGTGAACGCGCACCGGGTGAGAATAGCCACAAGACTCGCCTGCACTATTCTCACTCCGGGTGAGAATAGAGGTGGCCTTTATTAAGTACGGCTAGCCACTTCGTTATTAGTATTTGCTCCTCCAAAACTTAAATGTCAAATAAAGGATGTAGAACCTGCATTAGCAGTTTCAGACCCCATGTCAGCATTACAATCTTTGTAAATTTTGTGTCAAAAATGTTCGTTTTTTAAAAGTGATTCCTGGACTATCATTTTGTCATACGAGTACTGTTTGTCATAATTAAAAACATAATTGTGATAGCCCACTGTCTTTGGACACTACCTGATATAATATCTGTTTCAAAGCAAAAGAAACCTCTGTTTTTAACTCTTAAAGTGCATACACTTCTCTCTGTAGGCATGACTTTGTCTTTTCCAGAACATTGTGTATCATCGTTATATGTACAAGTCATGTTTGTCATCACTGGTTATTGCAAGTCAGCCCCATTGACTTTGTGCTTTTGCCTCAAATTAATAAAAAATTGTTTTGAACACATGTTTTTCTGGTATTGAGGCTTCGATAAATGTATTTGCGCAGCCTTTAACTATAGAGCAATGATAATGTCCAATGTGTATCCTTTCTTGTACATAATAATGATGACATGTTCAGTGAACTGCGTCATTACAATGCTTGTCATTTACCATTATGAATGGAGATCATAGTGTATAAAATCTTTGTTTACTGAACAAATGGAATTTTAAGTTTATAATTTGCCTCGCAGTTTAATCTGTTTTTCTCATCATTGCATTGTTACATGACAAGAAATACAGTGGTTGCCAAACCAATAAAAGACCCCCAATCTCCCAAACCCTACATTCCCACATCTCGTGCTATGATACTTCAGGAATATGAGCACTAAATGTCAATCTCTGTTTGACAGAAAAGGGAGTTAAATTGGCCAGGTAAGAAAAACATTTTGCACCCTGTGTCTCAAGAGTGACAAGAGAGTCTAATGTTATATAACTTTGAGGTATTTGCTTTCAACGATGGAGTTAAATTGAATCCATCAGCAAACCAAAGAGGTGTGCTAGGTGATCTCTGTTCTACTGTAGCTTCATGCATTAAAAAACCTTTCCCAGCCTTGCTACTCATTCATGAGGCTGAGGCTCACATTTTCCAAACTTTTCTCACCAAGATTGCACAACTTCTTACTGAGAAGGTACGAGCATTAGATTTAAAAAATGAAACTTTCTCTTTTCTAATAGGCTAGATCTAAGACTAGACTTGTGAAGTGAATAGATCTCTAGGCCTATGCTACACCATAATAATCATTGTTTATCAAAGTCAAAGCCCAACTCAGTCCACCAATTATTGAAGCAACTTGACTTAGCCTATCTCTATGATACAGCAAACAAGAAATCTAGATTATTAGCCTACCTAAAGCCTTCTTAGAAACTGGGTAGAATTCTTTGACAGTAACCTTGTTTGTTGTACACAAAAGCTCTAGATCTAGAGATCTAGATCTAGGACCAGTCAGTACAAATGAGAGAAATAGTGGTGTGTAGGCCTAGTGTGTGAGTGTGTGTGTGTGTGTCAGTGTGTGT